TGTAAAAGCACAAAACTTACTAAGATAGTTGAGTACACTATAAGTTCTCACTTTTCATCCGAAACTGTTTTAAGTTAAAACGCTAAATGTTAAAATATTTAATCTAAAATGCTGAATTCCTCCTTGTTAGTTCATCCCGAAGATGGGAGACGTCAGCTTGAAGTTGTATGGCTTATGGTTTGATGTTTCTTATGTGCTGTGTGTTGTGTACACAGCATTCTGTGAGCCGATTGTCTAGATAATGTTGGAGCCTCGACGTCTCATAACCCTATGGGCCTCCACGGCCTGTTACAGGGATAGCTTTACTTTTTTTTAAACCCGAATCAACTGCGAAGAATGGGGCATATACGCAAGTGACAGATTACTGAATTAAGAAAATTAGAGATAAGGTGTTCTGTCAGCAGTGACTATAAAGAGTACCATTTGACGTTGTGTAATTAGGTAGAACTTTACGGACAATTCGGAAGAAACCTATTGATTACATCTTCAGATTATTCTGCCATGAGATCGAGGGCAAGCTTCTACCAAATTACATGGCGTCAAATATCAGATGACAGTAATATAAACAAAGTAACATTTTCAAACACACTTTGAACCAAAAGTAATTTTTCAAGAGATAGCTCAGTCAGTATAGTGACTAGGCTACGGAATGAATGACCGGAGAAACTAAAATATTTCCGTGGGAGGGGCAGAGACTTTCGTCTAGAGCTTTCAGACAGGCTCTGGGGCCCATCCAACCTGACCCCAAAAGTGGGTGCTGTAAACCTGTCGGAGAGTAAGCAGACCACTCGGCTGCGTCCAGTGTGTAAGTTAAGAATGCCTGAAGCTCTACCTCCACTTCACCCTACATTTATGTTCTGGTCCTAACTTTTTCACACACAAGACACCAGAAGATACCTTCTCTTCCTCTTCAACATTCGCCTATTCTTCGACCCCCATGATGGAAGGACTGAAATCCTACGAAACGTCGGTGAGCTTCAACAGAACTCTAAGCCACCACATTCCAGTAGGACTCTTCTTAAACGCCGCTGTAAAGAACCTCAATTCACATTATGTAATAAGTTTACGTATCGTCACGTGATTGACTATAAACGGCGTTTCGATTCGTAATCAGATTTCACGGACATTTATGCTCGTAACTACAAATAACTACGGCAGTCGCACTGAGCTACACACTCCAAAGATCACCGTAACTATAGCACACATGAAGTATTCTCAGTCTTCATTAGCCGTTGCTTGGTGGCGGCTTCCAACGGAGGACGTTCTCCTTCCTCTGGGTTCCCGAAGTGTCCGTGACTTCTGCTGCCAGCTTCTCCCAAATGCAACTCTCAACTGACTCAACCCACAATTGAACTACTAGTCCTCGTTATAGAGCTCCGGGACGTTTCGGAGGAACACGCTGTCGCCTTCTTCTGAGTGCCGATGAAGGTAGCAGGTTCCTCCAAAACCTTAGTAAGTATCTACCTGATTGCACGGTGTCACTACTCAGAAGGCTACAATCTTCACTGCTCCAAGAGCCTGAAATCCGAAACCAGCAACTGAAGTTCAGAACACAAATTGTTGTTCCGGTGATGTGACGTCAGGAGACTTCGTTACCTTCGTCCCGTGGAAATGATGTAATACGGGTCTCTGCATTTCCGTCGTGAGAAGCTGCGCTGGGAGCTTTCAGCAAACTTCACCGGCGCTTCCGAAAGATAGGCCGCCGACATACAACAGTATTCAAAGCATCTACTTCTTGCTTGCTGTTGTTTCTGCCTGGATCACTCTTCGACTCCGAAGATGGAAGCAGTAGCGGCCTTCGAAAGACCGGTAAAATACTACCGGACTCCAGGACGTCACATCCCACAAAGCGTTTATATTATACTCTTGGGAAATAATTAATTCCATAGAGCCGAGTCCTTCTTGATAAGCCACAATTGCTCAGCCACTAAAGAAGTTCTCACAATTTTATAAAATCCGACATTGCCATGGGCCGAAGAGAGATGAGGTGACAGGAGGTTGGAGAAAACTGCATAATGAGGAGCTTCATAACTTGCACTCTTCTCCAAGTATAATTAAATGATCAAGTCAAGGAGGATGAGGTGGGCAGGCCATGTAGCACGAATGGGGGGGACGAGGAATGCGTATAGGATATTGGTGGGAAAGCCAGAAGGAAAGAGACCACAGGGAAGAACAAGGCGTAGGTAAGTGGACAATATTAAAATGGATCTTAGAGAGATAGGATGGGGTGGTATGGATTGGATAAATCTGGCTCAGGATAGGAACCAGTAGATGGCTCTTGTGAACACGGTAATGAACATTCTGGTTCCATAAAATGTTGAGAAAATCTTGAGTAGATGAGCGACTGGCAGCTTCTCATGAAGGACTCAGCTCCATGGAATTAGTTAAATACACCGCGTGCACTGAATTTATATCTGTTTAATGTCAAAGCAGGTGGTACAAATTGTGACGTATAAACCCATTGCTAGGCAAAGACTCGATAAACATTCGCGTGGGAGCCAAAGCGCGCAAAAATAGGACGTCTATTTCTAGGCAACGGATCAGTAAACACGCTTTAAACTATAGGGGATAATAGAAGAAGGTGTTTTCCGTTGGGACCGCCCCGATGCTATATAACGAGAAGTTTTTATCAAGAAATGTGTCGAGTTCTGGAGATGGCAGTCTAGGATGATTGAGGTGACATGGCAAGAAAGCAACTAGACTGTAACAAGAAGACTTCTTCTGTGATTTGAAGTTACAGTGAATATGTTAAAAAATCTGTTGCCAGAATACGACTAGTGAACGCTGAGAACCCTAGTGCGTGTACAATGGTGAACTGTAAAGTGTGTAGATAAGCAAAAGCGCTGTATTGCCTGTAGTCACGAGTTATTTGTACAAGGTGCCAATAAATCCAATCATCCAATGCAGATCCCGTCTTATAAGTCACGCCACCCTATTCCTCATGACAATACATTGTTACTACTGGACTGTAAAGGGTTAAACTAGGGGCTTATCTATGTACAGGCAATACAGTAAAGTTCATTAACTAGTTTTGGGTTCAGAGGAGTTCTGAACGAATGTAGTTGTGTACTGAAACAGCATCACACACCACGAAAAAAAGGAGGCTGCCGTTCTCGAATATCAACACAGAAGCCGACGTTTCTGACTGAGATATTCGTGGTTTTCCTCGGCCCATTTAGACAAACGTCTAGAAAACACTGTCCACTTATTTCACAATTCGTAATTTGCAAGTAATCACACAATTCGACACTATATAACCGAAGGAATTCCAAATATCGTCAAATACGGAATAAAGCGCTGAACCCATATCATTTGGGAACCAATATTCTATAAAAAGACGCACAATGAATACTAAGTCCGCATTCCTGCAGTCATGATATTGCGATGCATTCTCTGAACAGCTCTAAGTGACAAAATAATAAAACATTCTCCGGCTATCAGCCGTGTCAACTGGTTAAATATTACCGACGTTTCAGAGACCATCTTTGCCTGCATTATCGGGATATCATCAGATTATAATATCGATTTTTAATCGACTGACAAGGCCGATAGTCCGAAAACATTTCATCAACTTCATATCTTGCAGCTGTAACAGACCGTACCGACGGTGGTATCTCAACGCACGTCGAGCGGTACTGCCGCAACGACGGGATGGAGCTACCGTAGAGATGAGTCCTCGTTCAAGGAAATCTTTTAGTTTTCTGAGGAACTCTGCAGATAATTCTTCCAACCCCATCGAAGCAACAAGCTAGCCACACCTAGCGTTGGGGGCCCGAACACAGATCCACTTCTATTGATCTTGAAAGCAGATCAAATACCAGCTACATTCATTAACACCGCTAAATCAATATGGAGGTGGAACATCCCGTGAAGTTTTTGTTGCTTCTCACTTATCAACACACACGAAACTTCCTGGTGATTTGAAAATATGAGCCAACGTTTCGTCGCCAGAACATTCGGCAACGGCGTATGAAGACGCGTTCCAAGAGGTTCTTTTCTGTTCCTTAAACATATCTTCATGAACACATTTATGCAGATGTGTGCTGTTTTAGCTCAGCATCGTTATACCATACATCACATTAAAACATTAACTTCGTTACCAATTTTTAAAGCAAAAAATTCTGAAAAAGTATGGAGAGATGACAGTTCTATTTCAACACCAAGATTTAATACGAAAGATTAATTAAATGCTTATAGAAACAAGCGAAATCAATTATCTATCTCTTCATGAGAACATTAGCTACGTCCCTCGCTTACCAGACGTCTAGTTTTTAGGTTACAAATGCAATAGGCAATTCATGCAGCCACATCTTTTCCTGCTTGTTTCATGTTACATTTCAGCTCTGCCTTTAGATTGAAGCTGATCTGAATAACATAATAAGAGTCCGGTTCTAACCTCACAGGAAACAAAGCATGTCTCTTTCTAAAGACCTTAATTCAGCTAATGACAATCATGAAAATGGTCGTTCTCTGTCCTGAGACACAACTGAAACTGATAAACGCCTTCTTTAGATGAACTGTCGAGTTTCTTAACATTGAATCAGGTGGCATATATGATTACCACTGTCTGATAAATGGTTAATAGGTATAAAATTTTAATCTAATGCTTCTATTTTGATTTTCTCCCTTGATGATCCGTCCTGTAGGAAGCAAGCCACTCTCCCAGTATCCTTGTCTCTAGAGAGTGCACCGGTTACTATATTTACCACACAGTTTAACGTTTAAAAACTCTGCATTCGGCCAACAGAGTGTATTTATGTGTTCCGTATGATTCTCACAATAAACAGCGACTGTTTCCCTAAACAGCATTAACCGGTTGGTCTCTGTAGCGGAGACGTAATGTGTTTCCTGTGAGGTACGAACCCAGTCTTTAAGTGTTATTTAGATGAACTTCAGGCTACAGAAGGCTGAGATGAGTCCGGCTCTCCATTTCAAATATAAAGAGTAAATACACGTTGGGAACAATAAGCCCCCAGTGAATTCCTCCCCTGCGGACTCACCCCGGGCCGGACACCCGCCTGTGGAGGCTGCGGACGGACATGTCACGTGATCTGGGATGTCGTGATCTTCTCCAGGCAGGCCTGGCATCGCCTCACCCGAGTCCCCTCGAAGGCAGTTCCGTTGCCGCTGACGGTTATACACCTTGCACAGCACTGTCCCTCAGCTAGGAGGGGAGCATCCACACAGGAGCACAGTGATCACGGCGCTGGCGACGCCTGCGCCACCACGAGACACCGGAAGCCGATTCTAACCGAAGACGCACGGAGCGAGCCCGAGGTGGAGACTACAGTAATGTATTGGCGACTGCATGTAGTAAGAACATGGTGACGATGTTCCCGTGCTTACGTGATAGGAGGTTGGCGAAACCGGCATCCCCACAATTTGTACTCGTCGTCACATATCCTCAGGGTAATGACATAAAGCACAATGAGATGCGCAGGGCACGTAGTACGCGCGGTAGAGAAGTTTTTGTATTAAAGATCGAAATAAAGGGCCACTAGAAAAAAAAACAACCGCTAGATAGACGGATAACATTAAAATTGGTCTTAAGGGTTGAAACATGTGAACAGGAATCACGTGGCTCAGGATAGGGACCAGTGACGGGATGTTGCGAACACGGTAATGAAATTTCAGGACAGGTAAAATGTTGTGATTTGTTTTTTGGGCTTAGACACTACTAGCTTCCAACAGGGACTCATCTCCATGAATTTTTGTAGCTCAGCTTCTGTGTTTAATTAAGCATCGCACCATGAAGTGTATTTATCGCGGACTGCTCAACGACACTTTCAGTAGCTACACAGTTTAGCGTCGATTGGTGGGATAGATGTAGGATGAATTAGAAAGGATTTGGAAGGAAGCGGTCGTAGTGTAATCCAGTAACGCTCTCCGGAAGTTACCTCTAGTGGCTGAGGAAAATCACGAACAATCTCAGGATAGTCGGTGTCGAGGCCAAGATTCGAACCGAACAACTCCCGAATACGAGTGTACAGCGCTAACTCCAAGTCAACCCGCTCCACAGTACACGGTATATTTTATCAGTAGGAAATGAAGTTACGTTCTCCGAACTTCCAGTGCACGTGCCCCCTGCGGTTCTCAAGGTCCTGACTGTAAGCAATAGCATCATCTGGTACGTGCCGTCGTGTAGTCTGGTCATTTGGGAAGATCATACTGTCACCATCTTCACGGTGGAATACACCGAATAAAATAAAAGTACATTCCTCCGAAAGTTCGGTTTGGCTTCTAACAGACTACACGGTGTCACATCCCCCCCCCCAAAAAAATATATCTCCAACACCGATATAGTAAGTTTAATATTTTCATAGAGAAGCCTCTCTAAAACCTCTCTGAGGGCAGACTCTCATCGTTCTTAACATTAGCAACCCTACCGACTGTTTAGAAGACCCTAAATTCGGGTCCCTGCCAGGGCACCGAATAGCCTGACTAGGTTTTTCGCGGTTTACCTCAGGCCCTCCGCTTTCAATACCCTGACTATGTAGCGTGGGATAAGTAACGAACCTTCAGAACAGGAGAGGATTTAGATGGAGTCGGCAGTCGTCTGATCGGGTACTATCCTAGCATCTGCTCCAAGGGACTGAGGAACAGAATAAAAATATGTGTAAAAGGACACACGGTATCTGGTCACGCTTGAACCAACAGTTGCTCAGCTGGCCAGGAAAATTCCAAAAATTTGTGGAACCCGAAGGTTAATTACAGTGCTCACAAGACCCTTTCGTGAGCCAGATGAATCCAGTCTACACCTTCACACACAACAGACGCCAGTGGTAACTGGCAGAAGCAAGGCGTCGGCCCCTCCCTCCAGGGAATTTAAAAGATCCAGATTGAAGAATGTCATTTACTAAACATCAATAATTATAAGTTTTCCTAAAAATAGAATTATTTTTGTGTTCTGAATTCTCTAAGACACTCAGTGGAACCAGTCCTAAATGACCTAAACGCAAGTGTGTAACAGAATTTCCTGCTTCCCGTCCACACCCAACTCTGAATAAATCCTCCTTGTGCATGTGGTAACACCTGACATATTTATGATCCATTTTAATAATATCCTCCCTTCTATTAGGAAGTCTTCCAAGCAGTCTCTTTCCTTCACGCTCTTTTCTTTTATCAAAACTGCATGAATCTCTCTCAGCTCCTCTCTGTGTTACAATGGAGTCCATCTCAACCTCCTTGACTTGACTGCCACAACATCTGGCAGAGTACTAACACCCTCCAATCTTCTGTCACTTCCTACGTACAGACATCCCCTCAAACGGCCTCAGTCTATGTTTCTAGCTCAGTGTCAGAGACCAGATTTCACACCCATAACAAAAGTGGAAACATACATCAATGGCCTTTGTTACACACACACGTCATTAGTGGCAAAACCTGATTACTTATCACTAAGTAGGCCCTTCCAGGTGACCCACTGCCTCCCCTCACCGATTCACAGCTCTCCTTCGGCTGAATTTTGGTCTTCTATCCCCTTTCACATGTCTAACCTTCTCCGTTCCCTCATTTCTCTGCAGAAATATCTCTTCCCTTTATTATCAGTTTTCTCAGTTTCTTCATTTGCATTATCTGACAGCTTTAGTCAAGCAGTTTCCTCTACTCACTTCAAATCCAACACAGTTTACCCAATAAACGTCACTGCAAGCATTTCCAGACACTAAATTTCATATAAATCCATTCAGTAGTTCTGGATATGAAATGTAGCAGTCACACACACATAGTTGCACCCACTTTGCGCAAAGAACATGTGATATCAAGTGAATCAGATGTGACATTTACAAATTAGGTACCCTGTCTCAAACTCCTGTCCTTACTCACAGACAGACGGACAAAACCTGTCTAATGGGCCCAGCAGAGCAGTTTCATGCTTTCACCCAATGACAGAACAAAAGTCAAGTTTCAGAACAATGTTTTTAATTAAAAATTAGATGATGGAAAATGTCTGACATACGCGTTACATTAATAGATTCTTGTATTGATAATTACATAACATGTTGTCAAAATAATTAATGTCAAGGGAATGTTACAGTAACATTCACTGTTTCAATACAGAGGTCCAACAAAACACAGAAAGGAACTCTCTCCACATAAACATCAGAGTGACTGAAAGACACTTATTCTCGTAATACACAACCTGTTCGATTCTGACGAGGAGAAATGAGGCAACGCATTCCCCTTGCAGGGACAGCATAAGTACATAAATATCTTTATTTACTTTCAACATATATAAACAACATAATCCAGTGGTCATGTTCACCTGCTGGGACTAGAGTTCACACACCTACAGCTATTACAGGCACTGAACCTCTTATTTGGTATCCCTAAATCTGGATGTATTTTAAACTAACCAGTTGGCAACAATGACTGAATAGTTTGCTTGTTGGTCATTTTAGACGAATGGTGCCTAGCCCTCTTCAGACCAAGCCTAACCTTTGGAGTGTCCTCGTGTCCCCGTGATTATTTAGCCGTATGCCGCCTCGTATTCTTACCAACCACACATGTACAATAGGAAGTCCCACAGCTGGCAAGAGAGCTAAACAAAAGCTTGATGATTTGGTAAGTAATAAAAATAATTACATGCCTTGATTTTCTTACTTTACCTTATATCTTAAGTACATATTTGGCCTAGGACCAGAAATCTGGCTCAGTTCCGGCCCGAGCTTCCCAGATAAGAGGTTCTGGTATCTGTGCTTACAGTTGTAAAGGAATAATAAGTATATATTTCACTGTAACCAACTGATAGAACTTTGCACAGTGCCATCAAAATAAGGAAAAGCTTTAAGCATTAGTCCTTATTTTCAGTACATCACAATTCTTCAACATGAATAGAGTAAGTCATGTTCTGAGATCATAAAATAGTATACAGGTGGCTCTCATTATAGGCGGTTTCAATACCAGGATTTTCGTGCATTCACATTTTTATTCCAGTGCCATGAAGAGCATCGCCAACCTACCCAAAGTCACAGCAGAAGGTGCCACACATGCCCAGTTTCCTTGACTCCCCCACCCACCCCCACCATTTTGTCACGTCACGTTGTCGCCTACTCCCTCTCCATCGTGCTCAGTGGTTGTTTCATGCACTTTTGATATGCATGGCAGTTCCGGGGAGCACAACCCCTATGTATAATGCGAGTCACATGTACCAAGAATGCCCACTCTTTATAAGCTTAACAAATACAAACAAATAAATAATTAAATGTACATGGCCAAATGGCCACATTAGGGACGGACACTCACAAGAGTGTACACTTCCAGTCAACTGGAATAATACAACATATACATCGCTGGTACATTGGTTTTGGTGGCAGCAAATTGAGATCATCTTCGTCCGGCGACACTTCAAAGTCCTCTATACTGAAAGTGTCTGTCAGTTCCTGTTTGCCATCTTTCATTCTTGACAATGGAAAGAAATTTAGATCCTCGTCACTGTGAAGGGAAGAAGGACAAAAATTATTCATACTCCATCAACACAAAAATGTATGCACTGCAATAAAAAAATCACAGGTCACTTCTCCCCTCCCCCTCTGAAGTGGAGGGAAGTCAACATAAAGGCCGTAAGAAAACAATGGCTCTCTGAAGGGCTAGTTTTCATGGCCAGTGTCAGCTACATTACATATCATGCCATTAAGACATGTTGGGAAGTGAAGGTACAGCTCCATGCATTCTTAATATTGGCATTAGACGGAGGTGAATGGTCAGCTTCATGTTCTGGCCACTTTACCCCAGGGTACAGTACCTCCCAGTACCCACTGGACAGAAGGCAGGGTGCACCTTAGAGGAAACGGCTGTCTCTATCTACCATGAAGCTGGAGGAAGCAGACTCCTTCGAAACACAGGTGAGTATCTCCTAGTGTAGACACCGTCACAACCCAGGAGAAAGTAATAGTGAAAGTCTGGGCAATGAGAACCTCAAATTTCATTGTGCTTGTAATGTTTCTTCATGCCAAATTCACAACTGCCATGTTGGTTCCACTGATGACGGTAAGTACCAAAATTCTGACGCCTCCAGTGGCTTGATGTTCACAATGAACTATACAAAACTCAGTCACAGAGCACTTACACCACTAATGCATACAGCTGAGCAGACAGATGGCCCCAACCACAAACAGAGCTCTCTGCTCCGATGCTAATGA